CTCACCTGATGAAGACTTTTCAAACTTGTCATTCTGAAGGTCTCTAATAGCTTTAAGATAGTTAATAGACAATTTCCAAAAGTGATTAGAAAGTGAGGTTTGTATCCTTTAAACGGCTCTGCCATGGTTGCGAGCAAGATGACTGATCCCATCATTTCCTATTGCTCAAACCTGTGGAAAACCACTGTCCTGCGGTCTCCTCGTGAAGAGCAGCCGGCCAGAGTACATGTGGGTGATCTGTCCTCCTTATCCGGAAAGGTTCCAAGGCACTGGTTTACTCACTGGTTCCTTTGTGAACTTGTCACTTGACTTTTTTGTTTTAACTGTTCAGTTGTATCCAATTCTCAGAGACTGCCTGGACAAGTCCCTGCAGTTTTCTTACCAAGTTTTTTCAGAAGTGGTTTGCCATTGCCTCCTTTCTAGGGCTGAGAGAAAGTGACTGGCCCAATATCATCCAGCTGGCTTTGTGCTTAGGTGGGGCTAGAACTCACAGTCTCCCAGTTTCTAGCCTGATGGCTTCACCACTACACCAGATTGGCTCTCTTGACTGTTAGCTGACCACAATTTAATTTTTAACTGGTCTGCCTTGAAGTGGTTTTAGGCTGGAAGAATCTGTGTGCATGTGCAGCTAGATGGTGAGGGTGTATGCTTAGGAGGATTTGGGGTTTATTACTTAGTGTTGTTACACTTTTTACCTGGCTTGTGTTTGGTTGTAATACTTTTCTTAAAAAAAAAAAATACATTAAACAGATATAGGTAGTCCCCAGTTTAAGAATGCCCAGTTTGCAGATGACCGGAGAGTCCACAATAGCAAAATTCGAGTTAAATACACAGTGGTTTGAGTTCATTACACAATACTACTTGTACGGTATTATACAATAATACTGTTCTAGCTTATATACAAATTTGACTTAAGGACAGACCTTGGGAACGGAACTCGTTCTTAAACTGGGGACTACCTGTACTGATTAATTTTACAGTTTAATGGCTTTTATTCTTTTTAATAATCATTTGATATTAATACATTTTATGGATAATTTTTTAACCAGTAAGTTAGTAGTATCACCACAGTTTTATTTTTATATGTGGAATTTAGAGGTGTGATGTTTTACATCAGAACATAATATGTTTCATTTTCTACTGAAATGGCTGTGGTTCCTGCAGTTTTATGTCATTTAATGGTGGCCTTTGGCTGACATCAAGATCTGATTAGACCCAGGTGCTGTCTACAAGGAAGTGAGAAGGGACACTGGCAGAGTTTGGGTTTGTGCCCTGCCTGTTTGTGGGCCGATGGTGTTTGAAGGCATGAGCAGCTGAGAGTTGCTTCCATCCGCCCCTCCAGGGAAGCAGGAATTAGCTGCGCTCGGGCTTGTTTGCTGGCTGGCTTGGTCTCCCCTGCAGAAGATGTCAGTGTCATTCCTGGCTTGGGGTTGAGCAGTGTTTGGCATGGGGGGTGGCTATGAACCAGACTGCAGACTGAATGTGGCCCGTGAGGGGGGATTGTGCTTCCCCTGCTCTGGAGGGCAGGAGGCTCCGATTTAGCCTCAGGAAAAAGTCAAGTATTCTCAACCTTCCCAGGTAGGCCAGACAGGAAACACAACCAGATGAGCTAATTCTACTTTACTGTAAGACTATATTAACAGAATCTTGCAAGTCTGAAAGTACAAATCTCCCGCCATCTCTTTTACAGCCTGGTAAGTTAGGGGGTTTCTTTCTCTGCCTGTTATGCAGCTGCAGGCTATGCCCCCTCTTATCTGATGGTTCCCTAGGCAGCATCTCTTCCCCCCACCGTCTCCCAAGGTCATTCCCACAGACCATTACAGGTATTCTGCTGCTGACAGGTGGCTGTTGGAATGTGTGGAGGATGTCCTGTCTCAGGCCAGGCACACACAAATACACAAGAGGTAGTTGCAAACTTTTACTTATAGCAAGCAGCAACAAAAAGTTACATGAAAACTCACACACACAAAAACAACCAAGTTCTCACAAGTCCAGCAAAGTTGCCTAAAGTCCAAGGCGCAAGGATGGTCAGGCAAAGCCAGGGGTCCAAAGAGATAGCGAGGTCGTCAGCCGATCTGGGTTCCGAGTCAAAAGGCAAGGCACAGAGAGTCTGAGTTAGCGAACCGTTGTTTCCAACACCAATCTCGAGCTCATAGCTCTTTTTAAATAAGAGCAGCCCCAGTGGGGCTCATTTAGGAGGGCGAGGCTGCTTCCTTGCAAGTAACCTTGCTGACTTCCTCTGTGCTCTTCTTTCTGCTCTCCATGCTCTTGCATTGGGAGGGGGTGGCAATTCCGAGTCCTCATCTTCCGTGAGCAGCGGCAGCTGCCCCCGCTGATCACTGGCCAGCCCTGCCCCCTCTACCTGCTCAGGTGGCTCTTCGTCCAGTGACCCCAGAGCTGACTGCTCATCTTCCAAGGACACTTCAGGAGCTGGCTGCCCTTCTTCGTCTTCTGACTCTGAATCCGAGCCCCCCATGACAGAGGACAGGAAAGAGACTCTGGATGTCCCTCTAAAGGAGAGGGCCTCACTTGGGGTAGAACCTAAGATTAGGTGTAACTAGAGAACCTGTGACCCATTGGGTCATTGTTTCAGAGATATTTCCTTACCTAACAGAGAAACAGAATGACCAAGGGCAAAAAAGCAGTGGGAGTGTGAGCGACTTG